GGCACCCGAGTCCTGGCTGGGCCCTCGGGACCCCCGGCCTGCCCGCCGGACGGGCTTTAATTTGTCCGAACTAACACAGGGCGCGCCCTCGCGTGGTTGGCTGGGTGACGAGCAGGGCGCGGGGTCTTAGTGGGGTCGCCCACAGTGGAGGGGACCACGGCTGCCCTGAGGCTCCCTGCGGGTGCGGCTCCGAGACCTTGGACGCGACACAGGAGAGGGGAGGACCACAGGAGTCTTTCTGAGGACATGCCCTCGCTACTCCCTCGTCCTCCAAGCCTCCCATTTTGTGATGGATCCGTCCCTCCAAAGCCACCGGGGGCCCGCGGTGGGCAAGTGCGGAGCTGCGGGGGTTGAGGGGGTCTTAGTTGCCCGGCATACCCCGCCCCCTCTCGTCCACTTGGGAGGAAGAGCGGTGAAGGGAGCTGGGCATCAATCCTGGGATCACTCAAGTCTGGGGGCCTTGAGGTCTGTTGGTTCCGACTCTGGGTCAGGGGCGTTGCCTTCCACTTCGGGAAGCTGAGAGGGGACCGTTCTGGACAAATGAATTTAGGGTGCAGTACTACAGGGAGGCCTTGGCAGGGGTGCCAATCGAACGTCTCCTGCACGATTGAGGGCAGGTCAGGCTGCCAGTGTGCCTTTGGCCTGGTTGGGGAGCCTCAGGGCTCGGCTTCCAGTAAACCATCCTTGATAGGGAATCTGGTCCTGGGGCTAGGGATGCGAGTCTACAGGCAGGGAAAGGCTGCCTGGGAGGTGGCCAGCAGCAGAATCTGTTTACTGAGAGGAGTCTGCTGCACCCAGGGCCCTTACCTGGGAAGCAGGACCACAGGGTGGGTCCTGTGCTGAGAGGCAGGAGAACTTGGGGGGCCTGAGGCCGCAAGCCAGGGGGACCAGAGACCATCTGGATTTCCCAACAGCCAGGTAATGGACCTTGGAGCTGGCACTTGGGAGCAGAAAGGGTCTTGAGAGACTTCACAGCTGTTTTCACTCCTGAAAACACAAAGTGTTTCTGTTTTGTTTTTTGGTACCAGGGATTGAACTCAGGACCTTGTGCTTGCAAGGCAGGCAGTGGAACCACTGAGCTAAATTCCCAGCCCCACAAAGTGTTTCTGGGCCAGGTGTCGTGGGGGCTGCAGGACAGGAGAGGCCAGGGCTGGGCCCACAGAGCTGTGCTTCCTGAGCACAGTTGCCGTGCAGGCGAGGGGCAAAGTGGAGCCACCTCCCCCGGGGGAGACCAAGGCGGACACATCTGGTGTCCCAGGGTGTAGAGACATGCTCGGGATGCTGTCATACAGACTGAAATGTGTCCAGCCGCCAGAAGTAGAGGAGGCTGGAAATGTTGAGTGCAAAGGTTTTGCAGCCCTCTGTCCAAGATACACTCCCTGGCCACCTCTGGGTCAAAAAGGGTGACATTTTTCCACATTAGCGGGGAGCGCCCTGCTGGAGACAGAGAAACAAAACTCAGAAGATGGGGAAGCCAGGTGTGGCTGGTGTCTTGAGAGGCAGGCAACAGAACCACTGAGCTAAATCCCTGGCCCTTGGCAGGTGTCTTGGAAGTAAGGAATTTCAAGCCAGAAGGGCTGGCCTTTCACTTTCTGGCAAGGCTGGGAGCGTGGCCATGCTGCCATGTGACCCCAGCTAGACCCTCTTCCGCCCAGAGATTTACAAAACCTAAAAGATCCCAAGAAGGAAAACCAGGAGTCCTGTTAGCAGAAGAGCATCCTGGGAAAGTTACACGGGCCCGTCTCCTGTCAGTACCCTTGGCCCAAGGCACGGATGTTTTTCTAACAAATCTCCTTAATGTTTTTCAGAAATAACGCCCCACAAGGAACATTCGTGGATGACACAGGGACAGCCTGGCTTCAGTATGATTCCAGCATCTCTGCCATTGTTCCTGACTCCTCAGAAGTGTGGAGCCTGTGTTCAGATGGCACCTGTGCCCTGTTCTGCATGTGAGGACGCCTTTGGATCGGTGTGACCCAGAGTCCAGTGACAACTTCAGACAGGTGTCATGAGATTCCCTCAAGCTGTCTGAAGATTGGGCCGGGGGACCCAGCCTCCAGCCCCCTGCAGTGAGGAGAAAAGAGAACACAGTGGCGCAGGGGACATGCAGGCCAGGCGGTGTGGCCCCAGCCTTGGCAGCCACACTGGCTTCTTCAGGGCTCCAAGGCGCCGCCTTTGGGATTTGGGAGCTGAGTAGTCTCATCCCTCTGGTGTCACTATGCACATGAGGACATTGAGGCCTGAGGGAGGCAGGAGGGGACCGTAACTTGGGCTGGGGTCCAGCCAGTCTTCAGAGACATTGAACCCCACACTCCTGGTGGCCTCATCACACACCATCCCACCAAGGGAACCACAAGTGGGGAAGACACTGAGTTGTCAACAAGAAGTAGCAAAATCTGGGGAGGAAGCATACGAAAGTTGCCCAGGCATACCCCAGACCAGCACCAGAGTTGCCCCTGTGCCAGGCCTTCCAGTTGGGGGGCGTGGGGCTGTGGT